AAAAAAATTGTTTAATTTTATTTAATCAGTTGAACAAGATAAAACTAGTTGGCCCGGCTAAAGCCGTATAGATGTTAAGTTTGACTCTTTTTTTTTTTTTTAAACTAAACTGACCGATTGACTGATCGACAATTTGACGGGCTAGAGCAATGACCCGATCTTGATAACTATGATTAATACCTAATCTAGAGCTGGCCTCCAAAATTTAGAAAAGCAAGGCTATCCCATATTTTAGAAGAGTACTATGAAAAAATCGGTCTATCATTTTATATTCATGAAATCACTGGCAAGATCATACCAACACCACCTTTGGATCCCATTTTCAAAAAACTGGGTCAGCCTGGATGCCTTCTAAATCACCCTGCACACTCTGATAATCTCATAAAGGGTTTCTAAATCACCCTGCACACTCTAACAATCTCATAAAGTAATAATTAATAAAAGATTCTAATTACAACAAATATAAGGGATTCTAAACATCCTAGTGTCCCCATTTCACGCCGTAAGGGCAAATAATCAACCCCTAGTTTTTAGTTTCTTATGTTAAACTCCACAATGGCATATACACAACTTTCTCCCGATTAATTGGGAAAAGATTTTGGCGATGCTGATAACGATACTGGCTTCATCACCCCTAGAACTCTTTTTATGTATATTTTGAGAAATAATCCTATAAGGCCCTCGCTTACTCATGTGCGTAGGACCTCGTAATGATCACTATTAAAATTAACATAAATCTCTAGAAAAATCAAGTCTTAAACTAACCTAAAATATTTTTAGAGATCTATATCAATTTTAATGTTAATCTTTTGAGGGTCCGATAGGATAATTACTTATATGTTTTTTTTTAAAACTTGTCTAATATTTTTATAGGTACTCTTAAATCTCCCTCCCATAAGTTTCTATTTTACATTTTTAATATTTTTCAAATCTCCAATTTCAAATTTCGATCCCGCGATCCGACTTGGATTATGGCCGTGGACGATTCTCCTCAACCATCCTGGTTTTGAATCAAAATTTCAAAATACACCATAAATGTCATTCTCATGAATTTTTTTTTAAGAAATGAACTTTTTCAATTTTGGTTCTCTACCACCCCAAGTAGAGAGAGAGAGAGAGAGAGAAAGAGAGGGAGGGGAAGGGAAGGGAAGGGAAGGGAGCGCGGGTTAAGTCGTTTAGTTCGCCTCCAAATTTCAAAGCTTCAACCTTCAAATTTAGAGAGAGAAACAAAGCTTCAAGTTTAGAGAGAGCGAGAGTGGCCTTCCCCCAAGAGATTTCGAATTCTCTCTCTATCGCGCCTCAGACATGGAGACACAGAGAGGGGGAGAGTCCGATGTGGCATTTCCCTCTCCATAGACTCGAAGGAGGCATTTCCTCTCCATAAAGGCAGAGAGAGAGAGAGAGAGAGGAGGAGAGAGAGAGGAGGAGAGGGAGAGAGTTGGGGTCATGGCGGCCTCGAGAATTCCCAAGCCATGGAATCGAGTTTTTGGCCTAACTATAACCGCCAATACCCTAAACTCGAACTCCCCATGTTTTGTTTCAATTCAAAGGAGCCGATCAAACTCCTCAATCGCGAAATCTAACGAGACTTTGCCAGTTCTCATCATAGGAGCAGGACCTGTTGGTCTGGTTCTGTCATTCTTGCTCACCAAATTAGGTATTGTTCCAATCTCCATTTCCTTCCTGCGAGTTACTTTTCACACGGCTTTTTATAAGTGTTCTTTTTCTTTTCCTTGTGTCTTTCTTATGGCTGATTCTATTTTATGTTTTTCTTTCTCTTGTTCTTAATGAAAATATAACCCTATAATTGAGAATAATTGGTCTCCCCCTTTTGGTTGCACTTCTCGCATGCATCATGCTCTACTCTGTGCTCTCTCTGCGATAATTGAGATTTGAGAATGGAGCTACAAGAAAAAGAGATAGTTGAGATTTCAGAATTTCGGTTTTTCTCTTTGTCAATTCATATCTTTCAACTTCATACCAAGGCTAACCTAGTTGAATTAAACATACTCTAGAATATAATTTCTTGGTTTGAGCTTGATCCATATTCATTCTATAAAACTTAGGATACAAGAGGTGAAGGAAATTAACTGTACTCTGTAAATTTAGAGAGGTTTTTTATTTTATTATATGTAATGTTCTTCCTCTATTACTATAGTGCTATTAATGTCAATCCAATGTTGTTAATGTCTTATTTTATTTTATTGCTTTTACCTTGAGGAGCTGTAAGATTAGCTAAAAAATCACAAACACAAATTTCTGTATTGCAGGAGTTAAATGTGCAGTTTTGGAGAAAAATATGACTTTCTCTCAACATCCTCAAGCTCACTTCATCAACAACCGCACTATGGAGGTTTTTATTTCTATGAATTTCATTTATTACATAGATTATTTATAGCGGGACTCGAAAAAATGAGTGCAATGCTGTTTGCCCTGAGGATGGACTCTTACGGTTATGAGGAGATGGAATTGTATAGAACACTCAAATTAGAATTCAAAAGATGCAATGGTGACTCAAAGTCAATGTCTTGCTTTGTGAAGCAATTTTTGGCTTGTTTCTCTTCGAAAGATAAATATTTTCTTCAACAAGTTTGACTTCAATTCTCCACAGGTGTTGGATTTAATGCTCAGTGCGTCCTTTGATCCCATCAACAAGTGGAGGTTCATATTGATAAATATTGGCTCTATATAACCTGTAAAACCTAACTCATTGTAGGATTATTTGCATTTCAAATATATGGAAAGTAACAAATTTTTGCTTGAAAATCTTATTGCTTTGAAGTTTGATAGAGGAACAGGTTCTACAAGCTTAATTGTGATGAGTTTGACAAAAATTGATTTGGACAAATCTGCTTAAGTGGTGGTAGTTCTGGTGTCCTCTCCCCCGCAGTCTGGTATAGGTAGGTCTTTTTGCGATTACTGGACAATACTTAAGGTGCCTATAATCCTAATGGTGGTGTGACACTACCAGAGATGTCTTAAGAAGGTTCCTGTCCTTGAATGAGTTTCTTTTAACCCACTACTTGGTTCAATGCATGATACACACCCATGGGTGTTGAATTCCCCTTCAGAATGGAAAGGACATCCATAAAAAACTTTAATCCCTTTTAAGTTGTACATGTAAAGAGAGACACCACTAAGGATTACTTCTGAACTTCAGTTCACATCCAGGACCTCTTGGATGGACTTCCCTCATGTTCATTCCTTCTAGTAATGCCTATTCTCACTTACCTGGGTTGGAATGTTTCATCCCTACTTGAGTGATCAATTTCCTCTGAAGAAGATACCAGACGAGTTCTTTCTCCATCTTCTCAACAGAAGCTTCATTCTTTTTTTTCCTCTCTCTTCATTTTTTTTTTGGTATGGATTTGTGATTGCTATGTTCTCTCATAGTGTCTCTGAGTTTAATCTATTGAGAATTTATGCTCAAACAAATGTACGTTGGAATGATATCCCATCTTTCAATTTGGTTACTTCTGTGGGCGTCAGCAAATGTTCCTTGATGTGAGTCTGAATTTCTTTAAATGAGTAAACATTTCACTTCTTTACAGATTTTCCGTAAATTGGATGGTCTGGCAGAGGAAATTAATGGGCTGCAGCCTCCCATGGACTTATGGAGGAAGTTCATATACTGTACTTCTCTTTCTGGTCCAGTTCTGGGATCAGTTGATCACATGCAACCACAAGGTGAGATTTCAGCCTAGTTCATCAATAATTGTGTTTAGAAACAAAACCTGATTTCAATAATAAAAAAATTAAAATATCAGATAAAAACCAATTAAAATATACGTGTTAGGACATTTGAGATTTCTTAGGAACATTGTTGCTCGATTTGCAAGTACTTTGAATGTCACTTGTGCAAATTTTCTCCAGATTTTGAAAAAGTAGCCAGCCCTGTATCAGTTGCTCACTTCTCACAGTACAAACTTGTTAGATTGCTAGTTAAAAGGTTAGCAGACCTTAATTTCCAAGTTTGCACAACTGATACAATAGAAGGTCAAGACTGTGCTGTCCTCGGAGGAAATAAAATCATGATGGGGCATGAATGCACTTACATAAGCCCAACTGCCGATGGTGTAGAGGTGGGCGTTTCCTTTATCAGGGAAGGGAAGAGGATGGAAAAGAAAATTTGTTGCAGGATCCTAGTTGGTTCAGATGGGGCAGGAAGCACAGTAAGAAAACTAGTGGGCATAAAAATGGAAGGTGAACGTGACTTGCAAAAACTGATCAGTGTCCATTTCTTGAGCAAAGATCTTGGAGATTATCTCTTGCATCAAATGCCTGGAATGCTATTCTTCATTTTCAATTCTGAAGCAATTGGAGTTCTTGTTGCTCATGATCTCAACAAAGGGGAATTTATATTACAGGTAATGCTGTATAAGGGATTATTACTTGCTATCGTTGGAGATTTTTGCCATCTTTGACTTGATATTTAAGGCATATTAATCTTTGACTTGATATTGACTGCATTCGATAATTCTAGCATCTGCAGATGTTTTCTTGTTGTTTAACTCGATATTAGAATGATTTCTATTCCCTGCAGAAAATATTGAATTTTCTATGCTCTTTCGTAGGTGCCATTCTATCCTCCCCAGCAGAGTCTTGAAGATTTCACCCCCAAGGTACAGTTGTTAGTTAATTGAGCTCTCCAAATGTATATACCCTTTTCTCCCATAAGAAATAGTTTTTGCATTGGTATTTAGTTTTTGAGAAGTTTATGTGAGATACATTTTTTATAAAGACATTTGATTTTATAAAGCAGCTTGTATTTGTTGTTTTATATAAAAAAAGTGCATTTTCTTTCGACAAATAGTGAACAGTTTGACGTCTGTTTGACATGCAGGGAACATGTCACCGATATGTATTGTGTTGGAAGAAGCAATAGATCTGTCTTCTAACCAACTTTAATCACATCAAAAAACTAAACTCTCCTCCCTTTAATCGATATAAATAGAGTTTCACAAAGTTTGTGACTCTCTCAGCATGATATAAAGTTAATTGGCCTCACTGTGACAGCCAAGCTGCTCTCTACCAACGTCTATTTCAATGTATGATGAATAGTGGATAAGTGGTTACTGCTGAAGGCATTCACTTATAAGATGGTTTTCCTTATCTAACATGAGCGCCTTGACGGTATTGAAGTTTAAATTATGAGAAATAGATATTGTTTTCATTAGAAGGTTACTAGAAATAATTGAGAGAAGATGGAACTTTGTGAACATGTTAGATTACTTATTTACTACTACGTTTTTTTACCTGATGAACCTAACCTCATGCTAAATTGTATAATATAACTAATTTATAAGATAACTAATGATACATTGTCCCTATGGTAAATAGTGTGCAATATTTTGTAGGTATGCCGGGAAATAATTTTCATGTTGGTTGGCCACAAGCTTGTTGATGTAGATGTTATAGGCATAAAACCATGGATAATGCATGCAGAGGTAGCTGAGAAGTTTGTTTCAAGTTGTGATCATGTGATACTTGCTGGTGATGCAGCTCATAGGTTCCCCCCAGCTGGTGGTTTTGGTAAATTTTTACTATCATATTTTGTGTTCTAGTTTAAATATACTGTGCTTTGCTACATTTCTTAACAGATAATTAGACGCATTTAAAGCATACTCTGGAGTGTTTGTTCCTGTCAATATGCTTCAATTTCTTTGGATGAACACTTAGCTTACATTATTTTAAATTCCTTAAATGGGGTTTTATATCTATCTGAATTCCTACGTCTGCATGTTTATCATCCTCAGGTTAGAGTTAGACTCATGTCTCATTGATATTGTTTATTCGTTTATGAGTAGAACTTTTCTCTTCATATGATGGACAGTTTGAAGTGCTTCATGGATTTCATATGCAATTTTTTGATACCCAATATGAGACAGCCAGGACATTGTATTCATGTCTGTGTAAGAGAGAGAGAGAGAGAGAGGTTTATGAATTTTTTAATATGGTGGGTGTATCCTGATTTATTAATTCCATATCTTCTGAAACTCATCATCCCTTTGTAAAAACTTGTTTGTTTGTCAGGAATGAACACAGGCATTCAGGATGCGCATAATTTGGCCTGGAAAATAGCTTGTGTAATGAGAGGCGTTGCTTCACCTTCCATTCTTCAGACTTACGAGACAGAGCGTAGGCCTGTATGTCTTTCTTAATAAACCATGTGTTCTCGCTATGTTGATGGCACTTTTATTTTCCTTCGTTCTTGTCTTTTTACAGATTGCAAAATTCAATACTGCCTTAAGTGTTGCAAATTATAAAGCAGCCATGTCAATCCCTTCTACACTTGGCCTCGATCCGACCATGGCAAACACTGGTAGGGTTGTAACATTCAGAATTTTCACTTACTTTATAGAACCAACTGTTCTCTTCTTTCTCTCTTTCTTCATCTCACATGCACACAATATGCAATTATTTCAGTATTGAATCCACCTCTCTCTCTCTC